AATTGTAACTAAACCGTATCTGTACATTAAATATCGCGAAATCTTATTGAAGTAGACAGTATTATCGATGCAGAGGCCGAATCTATAGTTTTTAGAATTTTTGTCTGTCTGTCTGTTACCGTATCACGAAAAACCACTGGAAGGATTTTTGTAATATCTGTCGTTCAGTGAAAAATTGTAATAAATTAATGCTGAATAAACTATATTGGATTGAATTGAAATAAAAATAACATCTTTGTACCTATAGCATTTTAGCGAAGAGGGTGAATTTTCACTCGTATTTCCACCAAATATTTTATTTGAATAAAAATAAAACCGTATAAGTACGTCACTCAATAAATTTGCCTTTTTAATCACTTATATATATTCCAAAACAAGTTGTTATAGGTATTCGCATATTATTATTTTTTTACGCAAAACTCGTATGTACTTAAATGTAACATTAACTTGCTAACTTTGTATAAATTATAAACTTGACCGTTATGTCCAGTGGTAGTGTGAGATGTGTATAAGTTGCGGGTCGCGAATTACTTTTGTTATGGTTTAAATACAGTAGATTTATCTTCATAACTGAATCGAATCTGTTTTTTGGAACATTAAATATTTTTTGGAAAATCTTATTGAAATAGTCATTATTATCGATACAGAGGTCGAATTTATAGTTTTTAGAATTTTTGACTGTCTGTCCGGGAACGCATCACGAGAAAACTACTGGACAGATTTTGATGTATGATGATAGCTGGTTGTTCGTGTCAACATATAAGATACTTTTTACTGCGGGAAAATATCTCATCTTTGAGAAATCTATACTAAACGTTAAAAACTTAAAAAAATATATAAAAACCGACTTCCAAGCACTAAAATGTAAAAAATAACTAAATAATAAATAAAAGATTGAAAGTTTTGGTTGGAAATTGTTAGGAATTTGACATAATTTGTATGGTGCTTATGTCATATTTATCTTTAGTTAGAAAATCCATAGAAGGATAGTTTTTATATAATACTTCCTTAGATTTACGCGAATATTTGACATTTTAAATAAAACTATCTTTTCGGGAGAGACTCTCCCATGATTGATGAGTGACCATGATTGCTGTAAAGCATTCGAAACGTCGGGAACCAAAAATCCAAATAAATCCGCGAAAAAATCCGAAAAGATAGTTTTTTATTGTTATCCGCTATAAGCCAACTACTCATGCAATAATGATGACGTCGATTCGTTGTTGTGCGAAAGGAGGATGAACAAACTTACTTTTTCACTATAATTTTGAAAAATATAAGTACACTAGCAGAACCCGCGGCTTCGCTTGCGCTAAAACTACAGAAAAACTCTAAAAAAGTGCAAGTAAACTCCAACTACCTCCACACAAAAAATCACATCAATCTCTTCGATTCGACGTGAAAGAAAGACAAACAAACAAACACACACTTCACATTTATAATATTAGTATGAATATTATTGATACTATGATATATAGTGTGTTATAGTAGTGTTTCTACTATGTTATGTTGACATAACAACGTTTGTAATTTCCACTAGAAAAAATATCTGAAACCTTGCCAAATAAACATTTTTTACGTATGAAGAAGAACTATTTTCATACAAATGCCCTCTTGGACTTGATTCAATGATAGAAATGATAAAATATTTACCTAATGATTTGTAATTTTGGATGTTTTTACTTTTAGTCTAATCGTTGTGTGCTTGAAGATAGTTACTTCAAAAGTTTTCCAAGAGTTTTGATAATTGGAATTTCTGTAGATTTTAATATTCTTTAATAGTGTTTTTATTTTGGCTATTCTAGCTATCTTTTTTGGTGCCTTACAGTTGTGTTAAGATATGCAATACATTCTGCCAGTGTCACGTGTTGTGAGGAAGACACGAATGAGTTTGAGTGGTAATTTTAAAATTTAATATTTATATCTATCTATCTCTAGCCATGTTTGCCGCTTGTATTGGAAAAATGTGGCTATTTTGGTTATATGGTTATTTGAAAATATCTCCATTTCTACTCTTTTTAAAATTGAATGATTTTTTTATAATTTAAACTTCATATAATAAGCTTTTGATCTTTCTTGTTGTCATTATAAACATATCACCTCCAGGTAAATTTCTAGGAAATTAATGAAATTTCTAAGAAATCTGACACGCGCGCCGGCGTGTCCGCGGTCGTGGAGGGTTTAATGTACTAACGGCACACTCTCGCTTCGCTCTGGTTCGCCTCTAGAAAAACAAAAACAAATCTATCCCACAGGAACCGTTTATTTTTCGGGGATAAAAAGTAGCGTATGTGTTATTCTTATGTATGAGTTATAAAAATCCATTCAGTAGTTTTTGCGTGAAAGAGTAACAAACATCTATACATTTAAACATCCATACGTCCACACAAACTTTCGCATTTATAATATATAGTAAGATTGTCATAGAAAATTTTTCGATAATCGAAAAATTATCTCCAATAACATTTGCTTACAAAGTTACAACTAGCTACCTACCTACTGCGTCCCTAGGTGCCTAACAGTACCTTATATGAAACGTTAAGTCATACTTCATAGTCTTTTTGTATACAAAATTTCATCAAAATCCGTCGAGCCGTTTCTGTATGAGGTCGTTAGTATTTTCATCTATACATATAATAAAATTCTAACTAAATCGAATCTGTACATTCAATATTTTTTGGAAAATCTTATTGAAATAGTCATTATTATCGATACAGAGGCCGAATCTATAGTTTTTAGAATTTTTGTCTGTCTGTCTGTCTGTCTGTCTGGAAACGCATTACGAGAAAACCACTGTACAGATTTTGATGAAATTTGGTACGACGATAGCTGGTTGTCCGGGTCAACATTTAGGATACTTTTTAATGCGGGAAAATACTTCATCTGTGAGAAATCTAGGTATAGTAACCGTTAAAACGTACTTAGGAGACGAACCTGAGCGGAGCGGATGAGTCGCTAGTCCATACATATAATAAAATTGTAACTAAGCCGAATCTGTACATTAAATATTTTTTTGAAAATCTTATTAAAACAAACATGATTATCGATACAGAGGCCGAATCTATAGTTTTTAGAATTTTTGTCTGTCTGTCTGTTACCACATCACAGAAAAACCACTGGATGGATTTTGATGAAATTTGGTATTGTGATAGCTGGTTATCTGAGTCAACATATAGGATACTTTTTACCACAGGAAAATATCTCATTTCTAAGAAAAAATACAAAAACTGCAATGTAAGAGTATAATAATATGTAAAACCTAAGAATTTGGTTTTTGGTCATCTGAACGCGGTCGGAGCCGCGGGCAATGCTAGTATTGTAAAAAATCGTATGTCACATTATTCTCTTTTGTACGTCGCGTTAATAAAAAGTCCGTATTATAAAAAAGTTTTAATTTAAATAAAAAAGGTAATGATATTTAGCATTTGTACCACTTACAGCTATTTCCAATAACGGTCTGGTCGGAATGCTATCGATTTTCATTATGGCATTCCTGAAGGAACGCCTCGGTTATAGAGCCGTAATGGACCTAACATTTTATACTCAATATATATGTACATTTTTTATTTGTATATCTGTATTATGTTTATATTACTAGCTACCCAACCTGACTTTGTCTAGACTTTAACTTAAGCACTTATAAATATTAATGGTATAGGAAAAATTCTAACCTATTGTACATATACTTAGCAGAATAGCAATTATATGAGTTTATTTATGTATAACTACCTACTCACCATCGCTTCGCTCGAGTTCGTTCCTAGGTTGCTTCCCCATACAAACTTTTAACCCCAATTTACCCTCTGAAGGGATGATTTCCGAGATAAGAACTATCCTATGTCCTTCCCAGGGTCTCAAACTATCTTCTTACCGATTTTCATCTAAATCGGTCCAGTAGTTTCGCAGCCTATTCAGTACAAACAAACAAAAAACAAATCTTTCCTCTTTAATCTTTATAATATTAGTATAAATTTATCCTTAATCTTAACTAACCTTAATAAATAGTGTATTAAATTACAAAAATCATTTTGAAATCAGACCGATATCTACAGTGATATCTATAGATTACCTATATATCTATAGATTATAAAATCTTAACTTGACCTAACTAATGCTTAGCTAACTAATGCTTAGCTAAAAAAAAATTTACGTTAATTTAAAACTCATATTATTAAAATATATTCTAGTAATTTATTGCTAGTATCTTTTAGACGACGCCTGATTCTCTAATGAACGCAAAATGTATATTTTGGATATTGCTATTAATTTTTTTAAGGAGTCTTTGTTCAAAACATAGTTTTTTTTTATTTTTAGTGTTATTTTCTCTGGCATCATTGGCACGTGGTAAAAAATAAATACTACAATATTTAAAAAAAATAGCAGATTTCTGTTGGTGAAGGAGTTTTTATTCTAATTTCAAATATTACATATAGTATAAAATTAATTAATTATATTTTCCTAAAAATGTCTAAATTTATTACTTAGTAGCAGTAAGCTTCCGATCGCTACAAACTTCATATTTCACTGGGTTAATCTGAAGATTCCTGCAAATAAATGAATATAAATAAATATGTTGGGACATTAACACAGCACCATCTAGTGCCATGGTAAGCTACGAGGCTTGTGTTATGGATACCAGATAGTTGATACACTATACATAATATATAACTTTAAAGACATACATAATATAAATATAAACACCCATGACTGGAGTACAAACATTCGTGCTCATAACACAAACGAATGCCCCCAGCGGGACTCGAACCCGCGACCGCTGGCCCGGCAAGTAGGGTCACTACAAAGTGAGCCAAACGTGTCGTCATTGCTTGAAAATTTCATCAAAATTACTCCAGCCTTTTTGGAGTCCATAGAGAGCATACATATACATGGATTTTTATATATGCATACATAGATTTATTGAAAAAAAGTGGGGATATTATGAATGATACGTCACATCACTATTATAATACTTTAATTAAAAAGTAATATTTTATTTACAGACATAATGGAGCAGACGGACCAAGAGCAGGTGCGCTGCTCTTCGAGCGAGAGCGATAACTTCGAGAAAATAGATTCTGAAGATCTACGTAACGTAAGTGTAGTTTTTTTTTAAAAAACACATATATATATATATATATATATATATATATATATGTATATCTATACTTGTATAGTAATATTATAAAGAGGCTGGGTTTGTTTGTTTGGACGAACGCGCTAATCTCAGGAACTACTAATCCGATTTGATTTTTTTTTACATTAGATAGCAGTTTATTGAAAAACCAAATTCTTAAGTTTTACATATTAGTATACTCTTACATTGCAGTTCTTGTATTTTTTCTCAGAAATTAGATATTTTCCCTGGATAAAAAGTATCCTATATGTTGACCCGGATAACCAGCTATCACCATACCAAATTTCATCAAAAGCCCTCCAGTGGTTTTTCTGTGTTGCGGTAACAGGCAGACAGACAGACAGACAAAAATTCTAAAACTGTAGATCGGCCTCTGTATCGATAATAATGACTATTTCAATAAGATTTTCCAAAAAATATTTAATGTACAGATTTGGCTTAGTTAGAATTTTATTATATGTATAGATTAATATATAAATGCGAAAGTAACTCTGTATGTTACCTTTTCACGCTTAATCCGCTTAAGCGATTTAGACGAAATTTGGTATGGAGTTAGTTTGAGACCCTGGCAAGGACATAGGATAGTGTTTGCCCCGGAAATCGTCCCTTAAAGGGGTGAAAATGGGGATGGAACTTTGTATGGGGAATCAATCATTTCTCAAGTAAGGGATATAAAACCCATACCTATGTACATAGATAGAATATATAGTTTATGTATTCCATACTAATCGTCATGAGGTTAGTATAAATAATAAAAAAGCAAAATTTGCCAACATAGTATACGGAAGAGATAATGGCGAAGATTAGTTATGAAAATATAAAATGCTAGCCATTTAATTAGCCATTCTATCTATTCCAGAACGCAAACCCTCACTTTATCGTAGGGGATGAAGGATCAGATGTACCCCAAGAGGACGATGGTCCTTCACACGAGGGAGGCGATTCCTTCCCCAACGCTCCCCCTCCGAATATACGACCAAAGATGACATTAGCACAGCAACTGGCTTTGGCTGAGAAGAGAAGTAAACTCAGGTGAGTTATCTAGTTTTTTTTTCATAATAATAATATACAGTCAAACCTGAGTGAGTGAGAACTGGGTAAGCGTAGTGTTGTAACACAAAACGTTTTTTTTTCTACCGTGATAAAAAAACACCATGAAAAAACGCATTTTTGGAGCATGTTTTTTTCAAGAGTACAGAAATCGAAATCATTAAAGTATTTTCCTTAATAGATTAATACATAAGAGTTCATATTAGAGTTATCTGTATATTTTTAAACCTACCATACTTTTTTGGTTGAATAGTGTCAAGCTTACATGTGAAAATTCCGACACTGACAAGTACAAGGGTGGCACTGATACTGAAAGTGGTACTGACATTGACACACAGAAAAAATCATATTTTATTTTATTGATACTTTATTTGATTTGTAATTTTAGTAAAATCACAGATCATATATGTATAGTTTAAAATGTAAGTAATTAGAAAACATACTTCAATAAAACATTTCATTTCCTATAGATTTTTTTCTGAAAAAAAAAACAAAAATTAGTTAAAAAACAAAGGTACTAAGTTTTTTTAATGTTTTTTTTCAACATAGTGAAAAAAAGTCGTTTTCTTTTATGTTACATCACTAGGTAAGCGAGAAAACTCTGTAAGTGAGAGCAATTGCCAGATCACGTCATTTTATCCCTCTAAAACCTCTATCACAGAGAAACAGAAACTTCCATAAGAGAAAGTAGTTTTTCATTCGTGGACCTTTATAACTGATACTGCTATTTGCCTGTACCTCTATAAGCGACAGTCGAACGATTTTAACACATATTTTTTATACCTCTATATATGAGAAAGGCCACTCCAACTTGGGTTAGTGAGAAATCTCCATAAGCGATCAGAAAGAGATCGCGGTCCCTTGAAGTCTCGCTCTCGTTATCGTTTGACGTACTATGTAGCTGTTATATTATAGCTTAAGTTTTATTTGTAAGCTGTGTTATGGTAAAGTTTTAAGGTTATTTAATATAATACTTTCTTAGATTTACGCGAATATTTGACATTTTAAATAAATCCGCGACAAAATCCGAAAAGATAGTTTTATTTAAAATTGAATTCAATAGATTAAGGTAGGTATCTCTTAGCTTTTTTGTTAACCATTTTTTTTAAACCCAGAAACACTTAATTTCTACAGTACTGTTTATTACAATGCAAAATTTTCAAATTTGCCTCGCCATTTTACAAACTAGCTAGCGTATGCTAGACAATGCCGTTTGTATAATGACGAATCATAAGATTTGCCTGCGACATATCAGTTCGTATATGCTTTATCAATACATAACTATGTAAATATATAAATTTCGAACGATTATTATCATTGACATCACTCTAACATGTAGTCAGCTATACTAATATTATAAAGAGGCAGAGTTTGTTTGTTTGAACGCGCTAATCTCAGGAACTACTAATCCGATTGAAAAAAAAACTTTTTGTATTAGATAGCCCGTTTAATGAGGAAGGCTATAGGCTATATCATCATGATACTACCCAAGGGAGCGGAGCAGTAATATATAATACTAGCTGACCCGACAGACGTTGTCCTGTCTACACGTCTTTAATTTGAAAATTTCAAATTTTTTTTAAAAAGCTAAAACATTCTGGACCATTTTGATGAAAATTATGATTTAAATTGTGAATCTAAACCATTCTCAGATCCCCTTGAACACACACAAAAAATTTCATCAAAATCGGTCCAGTCGTTTGAGAGAAGTTCAGTGACATACACACTCACAGAAGAATTATATATATAAAGATAGGTAATTATTTATTGTTTGTAAAGACACCTTTAGGCGCATTAATACAATAAAAGAATTATTATTATCTACATACAATTGCCAAAAATATAATGATGATAATAAAAGATATGCACGATTAAGACGTCTTCATTTTTTATCAGTCCATAAAAATAAATTATTATAGAGCAGACACTTCCTTCTTCGTATCGCGCCATACTTTTTTATTAAGTTACAATTCAAAATTTGGCTTTTTTGCACTTTGTGGAATTTAAATATCGTGAAGCTATTCGTCGTTGTATTCAGCCCTTTTTTAACGTTCAAGTACTGGACACTCCTTTCAATGCGAGTTGGATCAGGCCATAGTTCACACAATTTTTTTTTGTTTTTCTTTTTATGTTTTTATGTATGTTCACCGAATACTCGACGACGCCTGAACGTATATATATACTTCCCAGGTGGTGGTCCCGTATAAATTTTATCGAAATCGGTCGAGCGGTTTTAAAAAAAATCAACATTAAATTATTTTTTTAAATAAATAATTTAGAGCATTCCCCAACGCGACGTTTTTTTGAATTATTAATACATACTTAGGTACTTTAAGATTGATTTTTTTTATAATTTTTTACTTTTTAAAGGGAACTTAGGTTTTTGTGTCGGGGGTTTTTTAAATTTTTTATTAAATACTTTTTATAGGTACATACTTATTATAATGTAGATTTTGTTAGTAAAAACCTTGGATGGTGTAGCAATTTGTGAGCTCGACCAAAAAAAACTATTTAATAACCCACATAACAAATCATCTTTAGCAGAATTGCAAAGACTGAGATGTAGTAATTGATACTCACACTTGAAAATCGGATTTTCATATCCCAATTTTTCCACCACCGATTTTCTCATCAAACGAAGCTGAGAACACTCGATTAAGTCATCAATATTCTCTTTCAGTGCGCTTTCATTTGTGACCCCACTCGAGTTTATTTGCAGACATTCGGTTATTCTTCCCCACTTTCACCCCCCACAACTTTTAAACGGCTCAAACCGATTTTCATCAAACATGTCTAAGAAAACTCGCACATAAGTCACTTTTAATACAAAAAAAACTAAATTGAAATCACTTCATCTGTTCGAGAGCTATGACCACAGACAGACATACAGATACACAGACAGACACGTCAAACTTATAACACCCCTCTTTTAGCGTCGGGGGTTAAAAAATAAATAAAATGTTCAAGTTAAGATTTTGTTAAAATACGCGAACTAACAAAATAACCATTGATATGATAGTCAAGATCAAGTGATGTCAGAAATGGCGGGAAAATGTCAAAATAACGCCAGTCCGCGTCCAGCGTCCGTGTTTGACGCTCGACGGCTGAAAATTAAACAGCCTAAACGATAATAAAAAAAAATATAATTATAAATATAGATAATTATATTTCAATTTTGTGGTAAGAAATATACTTATATTATTTTGGTGCTGCCGTTTTTTTTAATAAATAAATTTTTACTGTATTGTTTTCGGAATGTCATGTATTTGAGTGATGTTAATGAATATAGAGTTTTATCGATATCAGTATTGTAATAAACTGTTTATGTTTTGAAAAAATATCGATAAGATATGTGTATTGATTATTTGATATCGCATTAAACATAATAAATATACAGTTTTAATCTTAGTATATTTTTGCAATAGATAGGTTTGTTGTTTAAAAGGAAATTTCTATTTTTAATGGAGTAAGTATTATTATTATATTTCGTGTTTTTCATTCTTGTAAATTGCTTTTGTAGTTAAAAATGATCTTGTTAGTATGTAGGTCATATTTCTAAAACTAATGTAGATGGTAATATCTTTTTTATTCAACTTTAATTTTTAATTTGAATCGTTATTAAGCGGCTTTTAATTCAATTCACATGTATGTTACCGATATATTCGTCTATTTTATCGATTAATCTGTATCTCGTGAGTGATTTCATTTAAAATAAAAATAAAAATGTCCCCAAACAAAGTAGGTAATATGATAACGGGGTTATTTGATCGTACACCTTTTATACATACATACATTGCATTATATGAAAAAAAATATCCTAAAATTATAAATATCAACGGAAAGACGGTTTTTTAGTACTTATTTCATTTTTCTTTCACGCATTACATATTGCTTATGAAACAGAGAACGACATGGGATCAAGAAATTTGGCGTCCGAATTAAGGGATTTAGTATGCTATTCTTCACTAAATAGTGTACAGCAATAGGAAAAGCAGATGGTGTAGTTTGAGGACCAAAGCCAGGGTGGAAAGTTAGTTGTAAATATTATCAATCGTATACAGCATGATAGCATATAAATTGAAATCTGCGTAGTTTAATAGACAGATATGATGACAGATGTTAAAATGTAGGTATAGTACAACTAAAACAACTTATGATATAGGTTTGTAAATAATAATATTCGCTCAGTGATTTAAAGTCCACCGTATTTTTTTCGATTTTTCAATTTAATTCAATTCTCTTGTTAATAGCTTCAAAGCATGCCACTTGTATTCAGCCCTTTTTAACATCCCACTGTGGACTTCACACGTCTTTCGAAAACATGTAGGTTTCCTCACGATATTTTCCTTCACCGTAAGGCAAGTGGTAATCATGTTACAAATGATTCGCACACGAAAATATCAGAGGTGCGAGACCAGGCATTTGAACCCGCTTCACTCGGTTTCCCAAGCGAGCGTGTTACCACTGGGCTACCACTGCCTCATGCCACTTGAGTACAGATGAATTCAGGCAAAATCACGTAGAATGGAGAAGATTTCAATCATTATTTATAAAGGTTGTTTTGGAAAGTCAAATAGAATCCTTCCACGATAAATCTCAATTTATAAAATTTCCGTCACGATGTTGGTACGCAATGAACTCCGAAACTACTTACCTATCCAATCTTAGCGTTTTTTTTTTAAATTTATGATTTGTTCCAACTTAAAAGATAAGATAGTTTTTATCCCGATTATTTACTTTTTTTAATGAAAAATTAACAAATTTCGTATACGGTAAGGGATTCCGGAGTGAGAACCTGAGAAATGGCTACCCTATATTACAAATTCTACCCCAAGCTAAGAAAATTATAAATGCGCCACAGCAAAGTGAGATCGGGTCTGCTAGTCTATATATGTATACAGATTACAGAAATGAATTGCTGTTCGTTAGTCTCGCTAAAACTCAAAAACGGCTGAACCGATTTGAATAATTCTTTTTTTGTTT